GAATCATTGTAAATCGTTATGTATTGTGAATATAAAAAAAGTACATTGACAGAACGAGCAAATATTATTAATGTTATGGATGATTTATTGGTAGACAACGCATTTGAGCAAAATATCATAATTTGTCTACTCATACATTCATATATAAACAGAATATTTTTCTTTTGTATAGTGCATTTTTTTACAAAACATCAGTAATCAGACCAAAAAAAAATGAAACTAAAAGAGACAAACGTGTTGTTTCAAATGCTCATTTTCATTGTTTTATACTATGAAACTGTTAACAATGAATTAATAAAGTAAATATTTTTATTAATTATATTAAAATATTAATTTCAAATTTGCAGAATTCCTGTTAATCGAATTCAATCCACTTCATCGACAACAGAGAACTGCACAGTTTCTTCAACCAATGTAACAACATGTGACAGATCTTCAAATACTTTTGGCAAAGTTTCTGTTATAAAATCATCTACTTTTGAAAGTCTTATCAATGAAGCTGATGTAAGTGATTAATTGTTATCATAGTTGAAATCTATTAACACATTTCTTCAACAGGTATATTTCATTGGAACAATCTGTATTGGTACACCATGTCAATCTTTTCTCATCGATTTTGACACAGGTTCATCTGATCTCTGGGTACCATCAAGTAAATGTTCATCGAGTTGCAGTAAGTTATCAATATTTATTTGAAATTGGTAATAATGTTTTGATCCCGTAGGTAAATTTAAAAAATATACATCATCTGCATCGACATCATATATTGCCAATGGAAATGCGTTTTCAATTTCGTATGGTGATGGTTCTGGAGCTAGTGGAATTTTCAGTATTGATACTGTGACAGTAAGATTCAAGATTACTATACTCGCATGAGTTTATATGTTTTTTTTATTTAGATCAATGGAATTGCAGTTCGAAATCAAACATTTGCTGAATGTACATCTTTGTCGGGTATGGACGGTAATGTCAATGATGGTATTCTTGGATTAGCCTATCCAAGTTTGACATCAGGTGGTGAAAAACCAGTTTTCTATAATATGTGGTCTCAAGGTCTTATTTCGCAACCTATCTTTTCTTTCTATTTAAATCCGTACGTATTGACCTTTTTATTAATAATCAGCATGTAATATCTAAATCTTTTGTTACAGTGATGCAAGTGCTTCAACTGGTGGTGAACTCATATTTGGTGATGTAGATTCTACGAAATATACAGGTTCAATTACATATATTCCAGTAGCTCTTCAAGGATATTGGGAATTTCAGATGACAAAGTAAAATTTTAAGAAATATTTTTATACGAACTATGTTATTCTATATAGAGTGACTGTTGGATCGACTTCGATAACTCTATCAGGATATGCTATTGCTGATACTGGTACAACACTGATCATTGGACCTAGCAAACTAGTTAAAGCATTGAATAGTGCTTTGGGTGGTAAATATGATTCATCCAGTGGAATAGTATGACTTTATTTATTATTGTTTGTTTTGAAAATAATCCTGTCGTTTTTAGTATACAGTCAGTTGTACAACACGTACACTTTCATCTTTTCCCAATGTTACATTTACGATTGGTGGTACAGATTTTGTTTTGACACCATTACAATATATAAGTATCCAGAAGGACAGTGCAAATCGTTATGAATGCTACAGTGTGTTTGTACCGGATGATATGGAAGATTCCAATGATAATGATTTCTGGATCTTAGGAGATTATTTTCTCTATTGGTTTTATTCAATATTTGATATCAGCAACAATCGCGTCGGTTTTGCTAAATCAATTTCATACGATTGGACACCAACGGTTGCCTCCTCTCTTTTTCTTGGAACAGCTACATCAACAAATACAACTACAACTGTAAAGCCAGTACAAACTACAACAACAACAACAACAACTACACGATCGACTACTTCAACAACTGCACAGAAGGTTACTACAACAAGCGCGACAAAGACAACAACACGATCAACAACAACAACAGCACACAAAGTTACTACAACAACTACAAAGATGATAACAACAACAACAACAACTCCAAGAAAAAACATGACAAGTACGACAACACCGTATCACCAACACAAATATTCACGCCGACGATTTAACAATGTGAAACATTAACAACAATAATAAAAGAACTGACTAATTTTTTTTGAGTTACTAAGGATATTGTTTACTAGTAAAATTGTGTTTTTTCTAAAAGAATAAAAAAATAAAATAAAATAAAACTTTTAATCTTAATTGCGACATTATTAGAAATATTATATCGATACGTATTCAACAAAACATTTTTTTGTTTCAATATTCATTAATTATCATACTCATTTTATCCACCATCGAGCTCTATTTGACTTTCTCCATATATTTTTTATTTACTAATGCATGTGCTTCACATCGAGCAAAAAATTTTAACTTTTCTCAATTAATATGTCGACTTCAGCAGCTACAGTGATCAATTCATATGAGCCCAATGTTCTTTATGATGTGGTTCATCAAAACTAAACTGTAAATCTATCAAAGTAAAACACATTCTTCAATACGATTATTCCTTCAACATACATATTTCTTTCTTTATTGATTGTAAATAATCATTCATTAGAATCTTGATCAACAAAAATACATATACTATGGATTATACATAAACAATTTAATGTTAATTTAAGAATGATCTTTAATTCCAATTGCATTCTTGTTCTTGTCTATAGAAAAAGAACATTTCTAGATCATCATTTGATGCTAAATGACTCACTATATTGTTTCTTTAATTCTTACAATTGTATTTGAATTCGTTGCGATTGTCATCCCATGCTTATATTAATATAAGTTTCATCAATCAAGCAATTGTATTGTTTAATATAATAATTATAATTATCTTTTATTTATTAAATGAGATACAAGTGATCAATCATGTCGATGTAATCATAAATTGAAGCTGATACACCTATTCAGATTAGTAATCAACTAAAATTACTGTTATTTCTCGTTCATATAATTATCAATATTCTTCTTCCTATTTTACTGATTGTATTTATTTGTCAATAAAACAAAATCAACGTAGTATTGAAACGGACTTAAAAGAGTGAATTAAATGTTCAGACAATATATTTTTTTTAGTGAATGGTCTTGTTGAGATTTTATTGATATCTTGATTTAAATATAGTCAGGATGAACTGATTAATATATAATTTAGTATTGATATCTTGAGAAGCTTTAGACAATGGAATACTTCTTTTCGCGTATCTAATATTTATTTGTCATGAATAATAATTTAATTATCAATCGTTGGTGAATTCGATATTTGTTTTCTTTTTTGATAAAAAATATGTAAGAAAAGGATGGTATAACACAAAATGATTAACTGTACCATTTTATATTATTATCTTTTAAATTTCTATTGATATGAAAAAATATATTCAGAATGTGAAGAAAACAAACTAAGATGTTACCGATTTCACTTTCTTCTTAGAATTATATTATTTTATAAAATATTTATTGGAAGAAAACAGAAAAACAATTATATCATTTGAATATGTACACATCAATTTATAGATCCAAGAAGTATCAGAAGAAAATGGTAATATAAAATATACTAACAAACAAACTATGTGATGTATTTGAACGATATTACTCAAATAAAAATATTAAATCATATTTGAAAAAAATTAACAAGAAAAGAGTAAAAAAGACGCAGTAAAAGCACTACGTCGTATATACATACATTCCAACACATCCTCTCTAACTCAAAACAACAAAATATACAAGAGGAAGAAAAGGAATCGAAGAGGAGCGAAAAGATAAGTGAGAAGAGCGTAAATGGAAAAAAAACAAACATGAGAGAGAAGAGAATGTATCATGTGCAGAGCAGATGACAGCACGTTTCATTGGTTTACGTAAATAGATACTGTTTGGAAAAAACCAAGTATAACTTCATTGAATGTAAATACGCAACGTGGCTTGCTCTTTACATACACAAACACAACTTCAATACATTGTAGTATCAATCTCTACTGTAAGTATGACTAATCATGTATATATCGTTTTTTCCGCGTAACACGACATTTCAGACATAAGTATTTACTATAGAAGTTCAAATAGATGTTTATCTCACGCTGTAGAATGAACTCGAAAGTATAAATATATTTATTTTGTTATTGGAAATAACCTTTTGGTGTGTCTATGGAATACATATATTAGATGTTCATTGCGATTTCCTCCATTAATACAAAGTTCGAAAACTTTTCTTAACAGTTTTTTCGTAAATAAATTCCTCACGATCATAAAAGGCTAAGACGATGCAGGAGGAAGAAAAAATACATTTGCTGGATGAATCATATTTCTTTTTCTATATCATTTCTATGGTAAAGAATCGTTGCCATATTGACGTACTGCAGTAATTGCGCAAATGAAAGCAAGAGAAAGTTGAAGAGAATAACTATAAAAAGAAATAGTTTGTTGACTGTAGTTTTGTTCGATCTGTCTTCCACATTGTTAATAAACTTGTTTGTATTGCTCTGTCTGTTACTCTCCACAACAATATTTTCAAAACTAACTAGCTGAAGTTTGTTTTAGAGAATCGACAAAAACACAGTAACTTTAACAATGAATAACACAATGTCAATTAATAATTTAAATCAATTGGATCCAACATTTATGTACACTAAGATATTCAAGGATATTCTCCTTGATATGGAATATGATGAACGGTCCATTAAACAGTTTATTACTTATTGTCGAAAAAATGATTGTGGATCGCGAGTCAATATTGATCTATTTGAGAAAGAATACCATGCTCAATCAGCTATTTGGTGGTATACTTATCCATCATTTATCCATTCTATGGTCAATTATGCTCTTTGTTCTATGGAAGGCGACACCATTATTAATATGGGCTTTTTTATCCGTGACCTTCATCAACAAATTCAACAACTACACCAACAACAAATTAACAGTTATCATGGTAAACCATTCACAGTTTACCGAGGGCAAGGTTTTAGGAAATCAGACTTTGAAAAACTTCAAAAAACAAAAGGTGGACTAATATCTTTTAACAATTTCTTGACCACTAGTACAGATAAAGAAGTGTCCTTCGGTTTTGCTCAATGTGCTGTAACAGAACCAGATAAGGTGGGAATTCTTTTTCAAATGTCTATTGATCCACAAATTAAATCAGTGCCATTTGCCTCTATCGAGGATGTGAATTATTTTAAGGAAGGCGATGAAATTCTCTTCTCGATGCATACGGTTTTTCGAGTAAATGCCATTACACAAATCGACGATAACGATCAAATTTATCAAGTTGAATTAGAATTAACGTCGGATGACGACCAACAACTACGATTACTTACTGATCAGATACGAGAAGAAGTTCGTGGTAGTACTGGATGGCAAAGCTTGGGAAAATTATTGCTTAAAATTGGTCAATTTAATAAAGCTGAAGAACTCTATAACGTATTACTCGAACAGACATCTGATGAGGGTGAAAAAGCGCTTTATTATAATCAGCTAGGATCTGTCCATTACAATCAAGGCGATTATGAAAAGGCTATTTGGTATTACAAACAAGGACTTGAGATTCGACAAAAGACTCTTCTTTTAAATCATCCGGATTTAGCTACTTCTTACAACAACATCGGTGTAGTGTACAACAACTTCGGAGAGTACTCAAAAGCGCTTTCGTATTATGAAAAAGCACTCAAAATTCAAGAAGACACTCTTTCTTCAAACCATCCTGATGTGGCTGCTTCCTTCAACAATATCGGTGGAGTGTATCATAAGATGGGAGAGTACTCAAAAGCGCTTTCGTTTTATGAAAGAGCACTCAAAATTCGACAAAAAAGTCTTCCTTCAAATCATCTTGATTTAGCTATTTCTTACAACAATATCGGTGGAGTATGTCACAACATGACAGAGTACTCGAAAGCACTTTCGTTGTATGAAAAAGCACTAGAAATTCAACAAAAAACTCTACCTTCAAATCATCCTGATTTATCTACTTCCTACAGCAACATTGGTGCAGTGTACACCAACATGGGAGAGTACTCGAAAGCACTTTCTCATTATGAAAAAGCACTAGAAATTCGACAAAAGACTCTTTCTTCATATCATCTTGATTTAGCTATTTCTTACAACAATATCGGTGGAGTATGTCACAACATGACAGAGTACTCAAAAACGCTTTCGTATTATGAAAAAGCACTCGAAATCCGACAAAGGACTCTTCCTTCAAAACATCCTGATCTAGCTACGTCCTACAACAATATCGGTGTAGTGTACAACAACTTCGGAGAGTATTCGAAAGCACTTTCATTTCATGAAAAAGCACTTAAAATTCAAGAAGACACTCTTTCTTCAAATCATCCTGATATGGCTGCTTCCTACAACAATATCGGTGGAGTGTATCATAAGATGGGAGAGTACTCGAAAGCACTTTCGTTCTATGAAAAAGCACTCGAAATTCGAGAAAAGACTCTTTCTTCAAATCATCTTGATTTAGCTATTTCCTACAACAATCTTGGGACAGTATATCACAACTTCAAAGAGTATCCAAAAGCACTTTCATTCTATGAAAAAGGACTGGAAATTCAGCAAAAAGCTCTTCCTTCAGGTCATCCTGATGTAGCAACTTCGTACAACAATATCGGTGCGGTGTACAGCAATATGAGAGAATACTCGAAAGCACTTTGGTTTTATGAACAAGCACTTGAAATTCAAGAAAAGACTCTTCCTTCAAATCATGCTGATTTAGCTACTTCCTTCAACAACGTCGGTGGAGTGTATCACAACATGGCAGAATACTCGAAAGCACTTTTGTATTATGAACGTGCTCTGAAAATATGGCGACTTGTATTATCTCCATCTCATCCGCATATTAAAAATTTGAAAGAGAATTTTGAACTTGTAAGAAAAAAAATTATAAAACATGTTTCATAAATAAAAAAATGCTTCATTCAATAGTTTGACTCAATTCTTTCTTCTGTTGTCTGATGAGCATAGAGAGAAAGATTCTGTTTGTAATCAGAACATAACAATTAACTAAACCAATTGATAAGGGAATACATATACATATGAGTGAAGTTTACGAAAAGTTTATTTTTCATTCTATAAGAGAGTATTCTTCAAAATAAACAAAATATTGAGTATTGTAGTGGTTCTGAAATAAGCCAGTCTGAGAAAAACGGTAAAATAAGGAAGACGAGTTTAGCTGATACTGAATGGGGCTCTGTAGGAGCAAGACAAAATAAAAAGTGCTGTATGTGCATATATGAATGCGAGTCAACACATGATCTATTTCAGTGAATCAATCAGCATTCACTGTTAATTATAAATGAATGAAAAGAGTCATTTCTTAGCAATAATCTGCTAATCACTTTAGATGTATTCAGAATGTAACTAATTATAATTATTTTCGAATTTCTAAAGACAAATCTTTTTATAGTATAGCAGATTAATGAAATTTGTTAAGTAATGACTTGCATCTTCTAAACAAATATGTTCTAAAAAAATTTTAATAGACTTTTAAGTATCAACGATAAGTATACATCATATATTACATATAATAGCGATTAAAAGATTTGAATGACAATTGTATCATTTAGGTGTGGTACGAAGGATAGACACAAAGTTACGTATCTACATGGAATAATTTCATTACAATGAATATATATAAATACATGCTGCATGTCGTTTTTGAGGGTGTGAGTATACGGATCCATACTTCAACTATACTCACACCCTCAAGAAAAGGTGCTTGTCACATTTAAATATTACAGATTTTATTAATTGAATGACTTGTGAACAATCATTATTGATCATATATAAAAGAAAATCCAAGTGTTTTATATAATGGATTTAAAGATAAATAGTTTTATAAATCTAGATACAGTACTCTGTTCTCCAGTACGGCATGGCAATCTTAGTTTACATTTTACATCAGTATGTTACATCTTTGAACCCATGTCCAAATAGCTATTTGTTTATAACGAACGATGTAACTATACAAATTTCAAGTTTTGATTTTAATCGAATATTCAATATTTTCAATTGAATTATGGACAGTATAAAAATCTATTCTTCACTCTTTCATTTTTATTCTATTGGTTATAAAAGACAGGTATTAATATAAAGGCTTATTACTGAATATTTTGCATAGTCATCGTTTTCACTCTACCGTGACTTTATCATGTATAGCTCGTATTATGCACATATACATACTTTTCATTTGTTTTCATATTGGACTCACATGGCTTTGTTTTTGTTCAGAAAGAAAAGCACGTTGTTATTTTACGACCGTGTGTAGTGCCTATAATTATGCTAGTGATCCTCTGGTGTTTATATTCTATCTTACCGGTATATTTTTGATTTCAATATGAACCAATACGGATAATTGGCAAATATTATAATGTACAGCTGCGATGGTGATAAAAGTCACAATATACATTATAGATCTTTCTTCGTAAGGTGTATGATCAAAAATAAAATTATAATGCATTTTATCTTTTATTCTATTTAATACTCATTTTGAAGATCTTCCAAATGAAGTTCTCTGTGAAGTGTTTGAATAAATTGATAACTATCATATTTATGAATACATTTTTTATTTTAATACACGATTTTAAAATCTTCTTCTCAATGCTACTTTTTCACTTAAGACCACTGCTACATCTTTATCGAAATCAATCTTTCAACATTATTACATTGATTTTATTCATTTAACCAATCCATTTATCATCGATTTCTTTTCGTCATTAGAGATTTCATTAAATCATTATTCCAAACGAGCGTCTCGCCATACTTTAACCTTCCAACTACCAGTATTAAAATATTGCAAAATATTCTCTAACAGTCTTCAGAACAATGCACTATTTGGTTACACTATCGCAGATAATATCTCATCATATTTTACTACTACTCAGTCTAGTTTTATCGAACACTTTGTTATTAATTATGAATGATGTTTCATTTTTCTCTCACCGTCGACAAAAACCAATAATTTGTAGCTGCATTTCTTTTTCGTTTCTTTACTTTAATGTCGCTTTTTGATGTACTTATAATTAAAGTTTCGATTTGATTGAGTAAACTTGTTTTCATTCAGAAATGAAGAAAAATAAAATTTTGTGTAGAATACAAACCAAACTTAAGATCCATCATCAGTGTAACAAACGATCTTGAATATATATATGATTGAATGCTGTTGATTGAACTTTTATTTTGTAAAGCACTTTTTTTTATTTAAAGGATGAGAATATTATCAACAGCAATGGTTTATTAATGGTGGATCCGAAAGATCGATCATATTTTAAAGAAATGATACAATATAACTGTTTATTGTCCGAAACGCCCCAACATATATACTGAACAGATCAGGAAAACAATATCTGAACACTATCAAAAGAGAACGTTTGGAAATACAAGTAGACGAAAAAAATCCTATATATATGTATCATATATGTCATCTATACAAGAAAGAAAAGAAAGAGAAGAAGAAAAAAAAAAGATATGTCTAAATGAGAGACTCGGTTATAGTCAATATCTTGATCAATATGAATACTCGTCAGGAGGTATAAAAAAAGGCTACCATTTAAGTGATCGGTGTAATAGTTGAAACAATCAGTAAAAAAAACGAAAATAGTCAGTATAAAAATATGCTTTTGGCGGTAGAAAATGCGTTTATTTGAATGAAAAATATCATGAAGTAGATTCACGTCGATTTTGTGAATGAGAAATATCTTATGTTTATTTGAAAACCACGAGTTATTTATACATAAGAACAGATAAAGAAAATGACCAGAGAAGAAATCAAGAAGCTTCTTCTTCTTTGTTTTTAATACTGAACAATAGGAGATATCAAAGAGTGACCTTTCTTGCTCGTAGAATATGTAGGTTAAAAGAAATAGGTCACAAAAATAAAATACATGTGTAGAATACTGTAAACGTCGAAGGTATAGAAAAAATTAGAACAGAAATGATTCATTCTATACTATTTCAATTTTTACACTGACGTTTCTATATAATCGACTGTTAAAAAATTGAATTTACTGATAATTCAATAAAACAACTGATTTAAGATTTATATTTTTTACGGATGATTTCATTTATTGTACTTATTATAAAAAAAAATAAGCAATTATTAATATTTATTTTATTCTCTTTTCTTTATGATGGTCTATAACGTCACAAAAATATTTTTCTCATTTTCTCTTGTTTTTCGTGTATTAATATCAATAGTTTGTTATCGACATACACTCATTAAAGAAACGTAACGTTTATGAAATAGTTTGATTTATATTTTAGATATTTTCATTCCTCTGTGTAGTGACAAATTCAGTTATTAAAATTATGGCTGACAATCAACTTCCTGAAAAAGGTTTGATATTCTATTCATTAATGAAAATTATTGTATGAAAAAGAATTTATTAATTAGAGTTGCAAGTACTCGTGGCTGCTTCTAAGCTCAGCGAAGAAGGTTAGTCAAATTGAGATTGATCACTATATCAATTCTTTTGTTTTTTTCAGAGATACAAAGACTCTATAAAGTAATCAACGACACATTCTCAAATGATTTCTTGTTTGAAGTGTCATTACTTTTTCTTTAGGAATTCATAGAGGAATGTCCATCACGTAAATTGAACAAAGATCAACTCACCAAACTTTTCAAAAAAGTGGTCGATGATAGCGATGAAAATTTCTTAGCTGAGTATGTGTATCGTTAACTTTTCTTAGATTTTATTGTAATGCTTATTCTCGTTTAAGCCCGGTGTTTTCCGTATATGACAGCAATCATGATGGCACGGTCGACTTCAATGAATTTGTTTTAGCTACCGCTTTGGTCAGCAAGACTGATCTAGATAGCAAACTGGAATTTTCTTTCCGATCGTGAGTAATAGATCCACTCAAATTTATCAAGCATAATATAATTCTCAATATGTTTTTTTGATCTTTAGGATTGATCGATCAGGTGATGGACAAATAAGCTATGATGAGTTGGTATCGTTTCTTGATTTATCTGTAAGTTTTCAATATTGTTTTTATTTCATACTAATGCTTGCTATTTTTAAGTCCAAACTACTGTCACCAGAGATTGCCGAGGAATCGGATCCAAAAGGGATGGCACACGATCTCTTTGGTCTGTTTGGTGTTGATAAAGCAGAAAAAATTAATAAGACACAATTTGTAAATGGGTAATTAATAATATTTGTTTTTTCTTCGTATTAAAGATCTTTTTTTAGATGCAAAAAAAATGCTGGTCTTAAGGCTATATTCGCATACGAGTGAATTAGCACTACGATACAATAACAGAACATTTATTTTATTTTATAATATCAAATTAATTTTCATATGAACTTTCGATTTTTCTCAAAAAATAAATTCTCGTTATGGTTTAATCAAAAAAATGCACTGAGCATTTTGTAATTTTAATCTTGTTTATATATCTTGTCATTAGCTTTGCTTGAAAGTAGTAATATAATACATGTTTCTTGAGGGTGGGTCTGAATGAAACTAGGATACATAAGTATCAATTTTAGTGAGATGTGACGTGTGATATTGTTCAAGTTTCATGTCTTACACATACACCAGCAATCGCACATGGAAAAGGATGTGGGTGTGGGTAGTTTATCATTGATTAAAGGTGTTCTATACCCACACCCACAGCCACACCCTTCTAGATTCGATGTAGTTCGATACTATTATTCATTCAGATTAAAATAGTCATGATTCAGATTAAAATCAGAGTTTTGACCTATTTTTCTACATGGGCAAGATATAGAACAAATATCATAATACTGAAAAACTAGGTCAAAAAGAAACAAAGACGATAGGTAGGTCAATATATGTGAAATAATCGAAGAATGTTATAAAATGGTAAGCACTGATATTTTAGTTTTGATATTGATCGATTCATTATTTTATTTAAGAGGATCTTCCAATGTATGTATTCGTCTCGTATAATAGTAGCTTGATGAAAACTATGGGAACTATTACAGATGACTGATAATTTATAGAAAATTTTCATATAAAACCTTCAAAAATGCTTCCTATATCAATACAATGCGTGTCTTAAAAAACACAAGAAATAATTGAAAGATGCGAACTCTTGTTAATTTTATCATCTTTTATATCATAATTGAACATACGTTGGCGAGCAGTAAGTCACATATATATATTCATAAATCAATCTCATAAATATTTTCTTTTAGAATGGAGTTACGCTGCTAATATGATACATGGACGTAATGCACATACAGCAATTGTTCTAAATAATGGCAGAGTATTAGTTATTGGTGGTACCAATATGGCCGTTACTTTCAATAATGCTGAATTATATGATCCATCAACAGGTACATGGTCGATGACTAGCAATATGACGAATGCAAGAATATTCCATACAACATCTGTACTGAATGATGGAAAAATATTAGTTACTGGAGGTGAAAATAGTCCAAAGACAGCTGAATTATATGATCCATTAACAGATCAATGGACTCCTACTGATAATATGAAATATAGACGGTGGATGCATACAGCAACTGTTTTAAACGATGGTAAAGTATTAGTCTGTGGTGGAATAGTAGACGAAGGTGAATATTTAATAACTGCTGAGTTATACGATCCATTAACAAATAATTGGGCAATCACTGGTAGTATGAATTTTCCTCGAAATTTTTTTACAGCATCATTATTACACGATGGTAAAGTATTAGTTACTGGTGGATATAATTTTCATGATGGATATATAGACAGTACTGAACTATATGATCCATCAACAGGTAAATGGACTATTACGGGTAAATCAATAAATACACGAACATATCATTCAGCAGTCGTATTACATGATGGAAAAGTATTAGTTCTTGCTGGAGTGAGCGGAGATCACGGACTCTTTGTTAATACTGAATTATATGATCCATCTACGGGTAATTGGACACTTACTGGCAATATGAATGTACCGGGAATGTTTCGTACAGCATCTGTACTACTTGATGGTAAAATATTAGTTACTGGTGGAGAAGAATTCGAAGCTCAATGTATACCTTGTGTTGAGATATATAATCCATCAACTGGTCTGTGGACTATTACCGATGATTTAAATAATGAACGAATGTTTCATACAGCATCGGTTTTGAATGATGGACGAGTATTAGTTTCTGGTGGAATTGATCAATATACTCTTAATACAACTGAGATATATAATTTATCATTCTAAAAATTCCAGTATAATAAAATAAAATCAACCTTGTGTCCTGAAAATAATGTTAACAATATTAAATGTTTTTGAAATTCGATTTACACAGATAGCATAGTGTCAAAATGTAAATTTAAAAGGAGGGAGGGACGATAAGAGGTGAGCTAGTAAAATTCAGAGCCCACAAAAAGGTTTTGACTTAAAGTAGGCTCTGTCAAAAACCAACATAACTCTTCATGATTTTATACCAAAATAAAGTTCAGTCTGACACAAAAGATGTTTTAAATGATTTTTCAAAAAATTATTTTCTCTTCATAGTTAGGTTGATTTGTACACGTATTTAAGTGTTTACAATAATACGTTCGTTTATAATAAGGTCTCAAATAGACTGAGAAAGTGAAAATAATTTAAAACTCCTCTATTATTTTCAAAGCATTTTCAGGCCCGATACCTGCAAGTATTGAAATCTAGTGATAACTATCTGTATGTGTATGCTTGTTGGTGTAAAAATTATTTTATAACTAAAAATCCACTTATTTGTTGAAAAGCAAGTAGCAAAAAAAAACCAGTAAAACGGAATTTATCTCACTTTGGAGCGGTATACAGAAAATCATTTCTCGAATACCAAAGTGAATGTCAACTGTTTTCTTTTTGTTACGGTGTACTATCTTGAAATGTAGCATAAGACATCGAGTCCGCAGTTAGAACAATAATTTTATCATTTTGTGAAAACGTAATTTGTTCTTATTTATCCGGATTTAAAACAATTCCATAGAAGCTTGTTTCATCTTATGAATATTTCATTAATCTATAGCCAATTCATAAGCATTGATATTTTAATGTTTCTCGTACAACATGATAATAACTAATTGGTGTTCCTAGTGGAACAAACATCGATGTTGGATATAGATAAATCTCAGGACCATCAGCTATTAATAAAATATCATAAGCTATTTTAATATTTTTATTTTCGAATAATTGAGAAATATATTTTGAGGGTGTGGGATTACAATACAATGCTCACCTACACCCACACCCATATCCTCAATCATCATATTTTTCATTATTTTCGTATACTTTTTCTACTGGTTCCTATTTTGAGATCGTTCAATCTTCAAATTCATTTTGTATTTATTGATAGCATTAAAATTTGCATCAGAAACACTATCTTCAAACACCCGAAAGCTATCATTGTTGGGTAAACAACAGTGTCCATGATATATCGCACTATTTTGAGAAATAGTCAACACTTCATTTAGTTAACTTAATTGATAGTTGATAGAAGAAAAAGAAGATAAAATGTGCGTTCGATTTCAAATATTTATTTTCGAAATGAAAGTAAAATTGACAACAAGAAAATACAAATAGAAAACTAGTCGGAATATGATCGACTGAACTGAAAGTCAACAATTATGAATAAATGACATTAATAATATGCACAGAACAATATTTATAGAGAAGTTGAGAAGAGACAACAACACATCGTAACAACATTTATGCAGGAATAAATAGTATACTTTGTTGTTTAGTTGTAACAACATAATCGATTAAATTGGTTGTATTCGATTGTTTCCCGTCACAACGATTACTTGCATTATTTGCCGATGACAATTAAATAAACGGATGAGTTCACGGCGAAATAACTGGCTTGATAATGTGAACACATAGAAACTCATACATGCACCACCATTGGTTAGGAAGGCGGTTACAATCACAACGAGGCTGAGCCTGGCTGTTTGAAGAGCATTCAACACCTCATTACTTATTGCTAAAGAGTAAAAATAAACGAAGGAACTGGGTGTTCCTGTCAAAATGAAAAACATAGATTGAACAATCATCATTTGCATCAATTGTCGATCTGTTGCTTTTTGACGGTGTTGCAATTGGTTTTGAGTTCCAGTAGGAATATTGTTAGGTGCCATCCGTTTCACCGATTGACGAACATTCCGAATGGCGAGCAATCCAAAAGTAAGCATGCAGACAGGTGGACCCATACCGAATATGAATAAATTAAAAATGCCAACAAATGTTGCGTATGTTCCTGAAGTCCCGACACATGATGATGTTGTGTTCAGTCGATTATAGAAGGGAACATGTACGTATGCGAGACCAACAATCAAAAGCGTCAGTGGAGTAGCACGTGTAACAACGCGAATATTACTCCACGCGCGAATGGTAGCAGACGATGAACTGCACAAAACCCTGCAAAATAAATTGGTTTTATAATAAATTCAGTCAAAGTCAATCATTAAACTGACTAATAAATATTGTTGGTCAAGTTCTACAGACACTATTCTTTTAAAAACACGAACTACATTTTGAATGAAAGCAAATGAAGAACTTCTGGTTTCGCATCCTACCAAATTTTTAGAGAACTGAATGAGTCATAAATCAGACTGAACTCGACCAATTTTTAAAAAAATTGGGTGTGAGTGTTGGTCACTATACACAACCATATCCTGACTCTTCGTTGGGGTAGAAGCATTAAAGATAGAACTATCGCTGTATTTAGAATATCGAGTTATCTTAGTTAATCGATTGTAATACTAACCGATCGGCACAAGCAAGCACGATAAACCATGATGGTAGAGTCCTAAAATAATACAGAGAATATATTCATTTTTATATTGTACAAACAACTTTATTACTTTATCCACATCACAAACCACGATAGAATTCTGCACATTGCATCGGAACTCGCAAAAGCATCAATTTTATATACATATTGAAGAAGACGCAGAGGTACAAGAGTATAGACAACAATCAGACCAGCTGTTGCTGACGCTAAAAAAATACTTTGAACATGGATTTGAATAAAGTGAACGACGTGTAAACACATAAATACTTAATATATGGCCAACAGTACCAAAAGAAAACATTGTAAAACACCAAACTTGAATAAATAAATTTTAACTGTATTTGAGAGCATTAATAGCATCTAAATTAGTATTAGTAGTGTTTGTACCTAATGATGACATGTTGGTATTGAATAATGATATACTAGAAAATTTGAAATAAAATAGTTAAGGAAGAGAAAGGAGTAAACGACGGTGAACATGATGTTAATAACATAACGAAGAAAATTAACTGAACGTAATTCTAAATTGTCACTCTTATTCGCGACCTTGAGAGTTTTTGATTAGATTTTATAAAAAAATTGTTGCTCTCAAAAAAAACCTTTTCTTTAGTGAAAATATCAAATCCATACATTTTCCATAACTGGATGGCCTAACAACTTTAACTTTACTTTTTATAAACTTAAATTACTATGTCTAATTCTATCATGATTTGTGGATGTCATACGTCTTTTAAAAATTATCAATTAAAACAAACAATTCTGAGGACATATTTAATTTTATGTCACCCTATCAAATTTGAAAGTTCTTCCTAGATATTATTTATATTTTGAATGAAGAAAAACAGTTTTCTATAATAATATAAGTATTTTTTGTACTTGAAGCTGATGTCGAAACTGCGTCATTTATCAAAATTCATTGAAAATTTAATTAATTCCTTAGAAGCCACAAGCTATGGCATACACCTGAATCTACTTTTATATTATTTTCTGTCAAAAGAAAAATAATTAAGTTTCCATGAGAAGAAAGTAACAACTCATTAATTATCTGAACACTAAAACACTCATAAACAGATTCTTAAAAGAAAATGAATATTTTGTTTAAATATAACACACGCAAGATGCTAGCATAGATATTTATCTCTATTCCAGCAATATACTGAATGTAACATAATCACTTATGATAAAACAAGTGTTTTTATTAGGCATTCATCAAAGATTTACTAATCTATTTTTGACATAAAGATAATCTTCTTTTTTCTTCAAGTCATTTTTTTCTCATTTCCTCTCTGAAACAAAAAGAATTATGTTAAGTAAATAATTTTTTTTAATAACTATATAACACCCTAGTGAAAGTACTCGTCAAACGAGTACTCGTATGAGTTATATCTTAGAAATGTACTCACAGACAGACGTATGAGTTGTCAATGTGATACGCATTCTCGTTTTTTCGTAGAATATCTAGGAAAATACTTATGCACCAACATATACAAAAATAAACTGGAACTATATTATGGAAAACAAGAAAAAATTAGTTGAATGAATTATTTATTATAATCTCTGCCGTTGAAATACAATTTCTCAGATTCATCGTAAATATGATTGAATGAAAGACAACATATGAGTTTTTTTTACAAATCGATCGCCATTTTAAAATAAACATGACAAATAAACTATAAAAAAATTGTTTTTTTTGCACCCAGTAATATTGAACATATTTCTCATTATTAATGATTCATTTATTCTTTTTTCTGCCTCATTTTTTAACTAATCTTGATTCGTATTTTATTGTGTGCTCACTCTTTAGAATGCAGACATAGATATCTTCATTGTTAGAGAAGATTGCTTTAAAATTCTCTATAATTATGTTTAATCACTTTTGTACATATTTAAACCCTTCTTCCTATATTCAAAACCTTACTTTAATACTTATAAAGGGCGTGGATGTTATTTCTGCTACGTCTACACCCACACCCTGCCCAATAAACATAAATAATCAATTTGAAGAAATATTTTTCTTTTTTTCCCTTTAATGCTATAAATAATTTACTTGATTGCGAATAAACTCGTTAAGACAATATTAAAGGCAAAGACCTTATGAAACAAACCAAAGTTATACTACACTAGATAAGTGCTAATGTCCTAACAAAATTCTGAATGAGCCAATGTGAATAATCAATTTGAAATCAGAATAACGTTTACAATTCAATATTACAACAATTGTTAAAATCTACTTTATATTTCTGCACATTATTTCTTTACAAGTTTTGGTTCACTTTCAGTGCCAAAATCGATCGCAATGATGTTCGCAACTAGCTTCAATGTACCTATTCATTGAAAACTATGGTCTTCAATAGCCATCTCACTTTGGATCTAATAAACTAGATAAAACTATTATATTTAATCTCAATAGAAGTGCTGATTGTAAATTTGATTCAACATCGTGAATTTGGACACCAGTTGTTGACGATTATGCTACCGCATCTATACGTCATTACTCCAATTAAACAAATGTAATGTTATGAGAGACTTACTTGATGAATTATACATTCTTTAAGTTCATATAAAAAACAAACAGCACAATGAAATGAATATTTGATCAGTACTAAAAAATCTAACAGAACAGATATCTTATTAATAATAAAGAACCTAGTGGAACCAAGATTCTACTATCTACCTATATTGCACAAACCTTTTAATTATAGATTAAATATCTTCTTTATGTTTAGATCTTAGTGGCGCATATTAACTAAAGTACATAACAATAAACAAAATAAACATATGCCACCAATTATTATATAATATGCTGCGACACATATTACTTTTGTTCATATCTTTAATAACGACAAATAAATAGTATAATAATGATTCATATTTATTTAAACTTAATCAGCTATTGAATGCTGATAATAACAGTGTATTGTAAGAATACATTAACTTCATCCAAAAATCTTTCACAATAATACACAAAATATCATTAGACTTTTAACCAGATAGTCTTGCTATTGAAAAATCACTGAACACTGTCAAATATAGAATAAGCAAGACAATTCATATCATCTTTCTCTGAGAACAAACAAAATTCAGTACAAACAAATTAGAACTAATGATTTACTTATTCTACTGAAATCTTATCATTCTTCTGATTTCTCCCTTAAAACTCCATTTTATTTTTATTTTAATGCTTTCTTCTTTTTATCCTTTTAGCTTTTCTCTCATTTGAGCAGCTTCGATGGGGCCTAAACTTTAAATAAACAAGACAAAACGCGTCGGCAAAATGAATTTCGCACTTAATGAATTATTTTAGAAGCATACCTTAAAACAAAAATCAACATTCTCTATAAAATTCGATTACTGAAAAGTAATAGTACACACTACAAGATTGAACATGTCCATTTGCTACAAGATACACTACTATGTTCCTGATTGATTGACACCAACACACACCCTTAAAATACCACCCTGTTCTTTTGTACAGCATTACCGAGATATCGAGCTCCTTCGTCTCCGATGTTGTTTGAACGGAGAATTAGCGTGGTGAGTGTCTATATGAGAAGGTACAAATAGTTATGTGAAATAGATGAAGAGTGAATCAGTAATACTGTGTTATTTTGTAGTGCATCACCGAGATATTGTGCTCCTTCATCTCCGATGTTGTTCAAATCGAGATCTAGTGTCGTGAGTGTCTATATGAGAAGGTACAAATAGTTGTACGAAATAGGCGAAGAGTGAATCAGTAATACTGTATTAATTTGTAGTGCATCACCGAGATGTTGTGCTGCTTCAGCTCCTAATTTGTTCCTGCCGATATTCAGTATGGTGAGTGTCTATATGAGAAGGTACAAACAGTTATGTGAAATAGGTGAAGAGTAGATGAGTAATACTGTGTTATTTCGCAGTGCGTCACTTAGATGTTGTGCTCCTTCAGCTCCGATGTTGTTTGAACCGAGATCCAGTGTGATGAGCGTCTATATAAAAAAGTATAAATAGTTATGTGAAATAGATGAAGAGTGAATCAGTAATACTGTGTTATTTTGTAGTGCATCACCGAGATATTGTGCTCCTTGACCTCCGATCCCGTTCAAGTTGAGACTCAGTGTGCTGAGTGCCTGTGTCAAAAAGCACAAATAGTTATGTGAAATAGGTAAAGAATGAATGAATATTACTGAATTATTACGTAGTGAATCACCGAGATGTTGTGCTCCTTCGTCTCCGATTTCGTTTATCTCGATATTTAGTGTGGTGAGTGTCTATATGAGAAGGTACAAACAGTTATGTGAAATAGGTGAAGAGTAGATGAGTAATACTGTGTTATTTCGTAGTGCATCACCGAGATATTGTGCTCCTTCAACTCTGATGTTGTTTGAACCGAGAATTAGCGTGGTGAGTGTCTATATGAGAAGGTGCAAACAGTTATGTGAAATAGATGAAGAGTAGATGAGTACCCAGGTCAAACACCCCCGGTCGTAAACGATCGTAAACGGCATTT